TGTTTCCTCATCAGTTCTCATTCTTTCTTGATAGGTCCCAAATCGGATATATCAGGTCCTGTTACGGTCGCCAAAGTGTTACTAATAATCACATGAATGAATGAATCACTCCCAGAATGATCGATCTATTGTTCGATGATAATAAAATATTCAAATGATCAATCATTCTCAACAAATATCTCGTTGTTTCTCTATTCAAGCTTTATTTATTTATTTATTTATTTATCTGATGGCATGTCATAATGACAACGTTATGTCACTCAATTTTGATGACATAAGGAAGCTCATTATGGGACTAAGTACCATAATGAATTCATTATGGGACTAAGTACCATAATGAATTCACTATGGTACTATAATGAAAAACATTGTGAATTCGCATTCTCTATGTGATGAACATATAATTTTTTTTTTCATTGAATTCAACAGAAAACGTTTACCTTTGTAGCTACATGCCGCATCAAACATTGGGTTATATCTATTAAAAATACACGTTGGGGAATTCAGAATGAAATTAGATAGATAGATAGATATCCTTTATTAGTTCCTTCAAAATACCTTTTCAGGTGTAAAACATGTCAATATGATCGGGAGCACGACTAAATATCCAGTACAAAAATATCCTGTCAAAAAAATCCTGCCGAAAATAACCTGCACATTAATATATTTATCTGATGGCATGTCATAATGACAACGTTATGTCACTCAATTTTGATGACATAAGAAAGCTCATTATGGGACTAAGTACCATAATGAATTCATTATGGTACTAAGTACCATAATGAAATTCTATAAGGAAAACATGTAATGGTTTGATCAAAAAAGTTTATTCAAAATGCATAACTATGTACAAAACTATTTATTATAAATGGTAAAAGAAAAATTACCACAATTTGTAATATTAATATAATGGCAAAGCACAGCTCACTCACCTACTAATATTTGAAACAACACAATACTTACTCCTTTAAAAATAGTTGTCATTGTGACATGTCGAAAATGCAGTTTTTAATTTTTCGAAAATGTATTGATATAAATGCCATCAGATAAAATGTTGTATGTAATACGGATCATAAACAATCATTATGGCACACACCGTGTTATCGGACTCGGCTACGCCCCGCCCGATAACATTCACGACTTGTACCATAATGATCGTCTTTATGATCCTTATTACATAAATAACTATTAAGGGTACATCGTCCAACAGCTTGCGCCAATTACAGGACGGAAACTTAAACATAAAACAAGTGTATAAATCAACTAATACTAGAATAAACAAGGCCTAATTCAACTAACAAATTGATAGATTGATTTAATACATACAAACTATATGCATATACTTACATAACGAATATACTAGATAAAAAAAAATTTAATAACTTTGCACTAACAACTACTGATATGCTGAGTACATCACAAAAAAATATACGTATATATGATCAGGTATCAATTCATTACAAACCTCCTGTGAGCTTGTCTGACGCATGTCAAAACTTGCCCCAGACTACTATGGTGGATATCACAGTCTCTACATATTTTATTAAAATTCGAACACATAATGTTTACAGGTGACTTCAACATTAAATTTGTATTTGCACGGCTACATAGAAATTTTTGAGTTTGACGAGACCCAATCCGTGGAACATAAAAGTTTATTTCTGAAACTATATCTGGACAATCAATTTCATGGTGTACTATTTTGTATAAAAATGTTATTGACATCTGTGGTATATTGTAGTACACTCTATATTGAAGTTGTATTTTCATATATGTAATCAAGTTATGTGACTGTCAGATTATTGATTTTGGTAATTGTTTTCTTCTTATGAAATATAATTTATATCTTCAAGTGAAGTAATTTAATTTCCTCTTCGACTCTCTATTCACGGGATACAACAACATCATTATTCTGCAAAGCTCAAGACTGCTGAATTCAAAAATTTCCAGTGTATTCTTATAATATTGTCCCCTAGGTGGATGTACACCAGTAGTTTTGTATATTAGGAATTTCAAGAATTGTCTCTGTACTTTCTCTACTTTATCACTATGAACCTGGTAGTGTGGATTCCAAATCATGGATCCGTATTCAAGCTTCGATCTTACAAAAGGATAGTATAATGTTTTCATTACTTGCATATCCGTAAATGATCTACAGCTTCTGATTACGAATCCAAGAATTTTAAGAGCCTCATTAGTTTTATTGTCTATGTGCTCGATAAAACTCAAATTACTATCAAATATGATTCCTAAGTCCCTAGTAGAATTCTCATGAACTATTGCTATATCATTTAATATATAATGATATAGAACTGGATTCTGTTTTCGATTATATAATACAGTTTTACATTTTGCCGCATTCAATTGTAGTCTATTCAAATTGCACCAATCACTGATAATATTCAAATTGTTTTGTATTTCCAAACAATCATCAGCTGATTGCACATTTTTGAATATTTTCAAATCATCTGCAAATACTAGCTTCTCACACGTCAGTGCGGCGCACAAGTCATTTATGAACAAGAGAAAAAGTAAGGGTCCAAGATTTGATCCTTGAGGAACTCCAGAGATTGCTGTGTATGGCAAAGACGCATGTCCGTTATATGTAACATACTGCTCCCTTTTATGTAGATATGAGCGAGAGAAAGATGTCATTTTGATCGATAATCTGAAATAATAAAGTTTTTTCAGCAGAATATCATGATCAATCCGGTCGAACGCTTTAGAAAAGTCAGTGTATGCTACATCTACTTGTCCCTGCTTATCCATTATTTCAGACACATATTGAGTGAAGATAACTAGATTTGTATTAGTTGAGCGTTTTGGCATAAAACCGTGTTGATATGTGGATATTATAATGACAGTACATTTTTGGATATGATTATGTATCACTATTTCGAAAATTTTTGCGAAGTTGCATAGTAAGGACACTGGTCTATAGTTTTTTACTTTTGCTCTATCACCAGCCTTAAAAATAGAACATACCTTGGTAATTTTCCATTAACAGGGGAAGTTGGCAGTTTTGAGAGACATATTGAACAGTTTCATGAGTGGAATAGCCAAAGCAAATCTAGAATCTTTGATAATGAATGCTGGTATAAGATCTGAACCAGATGTCATTTTATTTTTGAGTTTTTTCATGACATTCTCTACTTCGTTGACAGTTATGTTTCGTATGTTGATTGTCTCAATGGAAGACATGCATTGATCATCATTTATATCATTATTACAATTCTGGTTATTTGAAACAGGTTTTGAGTAAACGCTCTTGAAAAAATTCGCAAAAGAGTTTATAATATCTGTGGAATCTTCAAGTGTGACAATGTCGTAAACCATTTCTCCCGGAATTCTGGATTGTTGTTGTTTTGAGTGAACAAAGGACCAGAATTGTTTTGGATCACTATTTGTTGATTTTTCTTTTTTGTTCAGATATTTTTTATGAGCTACTTTTACTTTTGATTTGACTAATGCTCTGAGTCTCTTAAATTCATCCAGATCTTGTTGTATTTTTGTTCTTTTGTACTTTTTGGAATGTTAATTTTTAACCTTAATCAGATCGATGATCTCTCTAGTGAACCACTTTGGAAATTTCTGTTTTGTATTTTGATAAATAGGAACGTACTGATCAAAAATTTCATATTGTATACTATAGAAGGAGTCTAATGCATCATTAACATTATTTGTGACGCTATCTATGAATGACCAATCCACACCAAGTAGTGCAGAATATAGCCCAATATAATCTGCCTTCCTGAAATTGTACATTTTGTGATCATTACTAACATTCATAATATGAGTTCTCGATTTTAAATCCAGCTTGATGAACAGTGCAGGATGATATACATCTTCCCTCACCATTGCAGAAGTATCATGGAAAATATCACAGTTGATGTTAGTTAATACTAAATCTAGTAGACGGTTATCATTGTTGAAGATACAATTTTTCTGTTGTGAATTATAGAAAGTCTGAAAATTGTGCATGAGCATAGCTTTTTCATCGATATCATTCGAATGGAGATTAGGCAAGTTGAAGTCACCCATTATTAGGATTTTTTTTTCTAACATAAAACTAAATTGTACAAATGATTCAAGGAATAGCTCATATGTATCATTATCTGAATTGGGAGGAACATAAATAGCAAAAACAAATACTACACTATTGTTAGTACGACATTTACAACATATTATATCATTATTGGGAAACTGCGTTTCGATCATCGTAAGGTCTACTTTCTCACATTTCAGGTTACTTTTGAATGCTGAAAGAACACCCCCTCCGCTGGATTGACCTGTTAGATGAAACTTTCTGTCACTTCTATGAATATCGTAAGCATCTGGAAATAGTTCAGAGTTTGAAAAATCCGGGTGTAACCACGTTTCCGTGAGTGCTATGATATCAAACTCATTGGTTGAGATTGAGGAAAAAAATTGTTGCGTCTTTGTGTTGAGGCCGCGTACATTTTGGTAACCACATACAATTTCTGTTTCAGTACACATCTTATTTATATTAGCTTTGTGAAGATGAAAAAATATTTTTCAATTATGTTTTCTTATTTGTTATCACTGTATAGTCAGCTATCCTTGAAGATGATGAAGCGATATATTTCACGATTCTACCAGGAAGTTTTAATTGGATCAGTTAATGAATGGAATAATTCGTAAAAAATATTAGTTCCACCAACAATCAACTTATTACATCAACGACCTGAGCGGAATATTATATTATCATCTATTGAGTATGGAAATAAAAAAAAAATAATCAATGCGACCTGAAAACGTCTGGGCACCAGGCGAAGAGCTATCTCTGATTCAGGTACCAGTAAACAGTCCACGGTGATGTTGCACAAATACATGCATTCCAAACTGAGTTTCTGTTTAACACAAAAAAAAACAAATACCAGAAAAATATTTTTTTAATATTTATTGCTGATGAATTAAAATTTTCCAATCAAAACATGTATGTTCAAATAATTTTTGTATGATCTAAACTGGACAATCATCTAGTCATCGTCATCGTTGAAAAGCATATTGACTAGATCTGCTTTATCACATTGTTCTCCTTCCAATCTTTGTGGACCTCCCCATCTAACGATTGTTGGTAAAACTCTCACTTTGGTTTTGGGATCCTTCCTGAACCCACATTCTGGATCTTTCCACCTTCAAATAAACAATCATCATCATAACATAATGAATTTTTCTTCTGTCAAATTTTTTAGATGTGAATTCCGAACAGTTCCAAGAGTTTGTTCGATTATTGAAACTCGAAATTGATGCCACCAACAGTGTTTTGATGATATTTTTCGAGAAATAATCGATTTCATCGAAATAAGTTATTCCTTTATAACCACTATGACGCATTTTTTTTTTCGATAACCAAATCGAAATGACAAGATATTCTTCAACTTATATACAGGGTGATTCACATAACAACCGACATAGGACAGGGGCATGTAGGGGGTCCCAGAATATGGCAATTCAACGCAACTTACCTCTATACCAAGTTGCTTCCCTAAGGAGTTATAGGCATAGCACTAACAGCATGTCAACTTGCTCGTTAAAAAAAAACTTCCCGTTCATTTTAAAAACACTCAAACAACAACTACTTCATTAAACAACTCACTTGCCTCATTGTCAAGTTTGACGTTTATTTTCATAGCCAACTTTTGAATTTTTGATTTTAAATAACACACCTCTAGAGCGCGCGTTTTCAGTTATTCGAGTTTCTGATGAAAATGATGAGGTTTTTCGAAAAATTACTAGCAAAGATATTTGGAATCCATCAAGGGTTAACAAAATTATGTTGAATATTAATGGTGCGCCACCCGGTATACCCCCTTTACAAATTTCAATTGAACTCTAGTTACTGTCAAGTAACGCTCTAAATACATCAACAAAGTGTACCAAATTTGTTTGCTTTTAGTTCAAGAATAACGGAGATATTGATTTTTTTCAAAATTTATAACTTCACTTTCAAAGCCTATATCTCCTTAGGGAAGCAACTTGGTATTGAGGTAAGTTGCGTTAAATTGCCATATTTTGGGACCCTCTACATGCCTCTGCTCTATGTCGGTTCTTATGTGAATCACCCTGTATATGCCTAATGCTTTCACGTATTGCCGGCAAGCAGGCATTATCTGTAATGACGAATGATTCATTCAGGTCGAGACAGTTTGTTTCTCCGAAAAATATACTTCCTAGGAAGTAGGTTCATTCACGCTAAGGTAGGTCGGATGGTTAAGAAAAAGTGGTCCGTTTCTTTCTTTGGTTATGCCATGAGGATATTTCTCTCCTCATCAAATCGGTAAACAAAGTAACGACTGGCAACGCTGTTACGCTGTTTTCTGTGATACGTAAAATGACTTCATCATTTCTGGAATTGATTGACCTCGACCTATACACCCAAAAAGTACCTTTTTCGTTGATATTTTTCATCTCAGTTGAAACAATACCCAGCAAATTGTAAGTGGATGATGACTTTTTTCTCGGCAATATAAACAGTTCCTCTCAATAAAGGGGACTATGAAGAAGTTCTCACTGAATTTCGAATCGCTAGGTTTCGTTTCAACAGAGATATAAAATGAAAACAAAAAATTCATCCAAACTCCAACATCCTGTAGGTATGATGAAAACAAAATTCTCCACGAGAAAACAAGAGATTATGTGAATATAATTTGAATTTTGCTATAGATTGTCAGATTCAGATGACTTGAGCCCTGTGTATCATCTTATTGAAAATGAAGAGGACGAATGAAATCAAAGATCACAAGTAACCTGTTATGTCTTTCACGTAATTCGAATGAATGTGATTTCATGAAAATTGTCCTAGATAGTGACCTCCACATAGTGAAACGAGTCATCAAAACTGAGGGAGACTTAGTTGTACTTTTTATAACGGAACATGCTGTATATCCTTGATGTTTACGATTCCTCATCCATTTCATATAACATATTTTGTTGACAATATTCTTCGGATATCAATTCAACTAATTTGATTCATTTGCTTCTTATGGAAAATAATGACTTATAGAGCATATTAAAAACACGTCTCAAGCCTAAAATTCTGTATTGGAACTCAAGTATACTGCATTTCTAATGAACTGGATATCTTTTACGAAGCAACTCTGATGATAGAATGATCCATGACTTGCAACATATTGATGTGGTTGGTTGATACAGTTTCCATCGTATTCGTTCAATATAACCTCCAGAAATTCGATTTCAACACATTCCTCCTCTTCCTGCCATCCCAAGGTACGCACGATGTTTCCCGATAATCAAGGGAATTTTCTTTCGTGCGCTCCAAGAGATAAAAAAAATCAAAATTCCTCCACCTGACTCTTCCCCCAATCATTTCAATTGACATGAATATTCATTGAACTGAACGAAACAGACCAACATATCTGTGGCATGAATATATTTGTAGAAAATCAGGAGTGACTGCATAATTATGTGAATGAAAATTATGGATATTTCCTATTAGGAGAGCATAAAATTATTTTGAGACAAAAATACGATCAAAACCTCATTTCACCTAGGTATAAAAAATAAACATGATGAGCCAAAATCAGGAATCATCTAATCAATTGATGTGCCAGTGAGTAGGTACTCCTGACAAGATTGCATTTCGAAGGATTCCATAAATAGATCTAGCTATTGCATTTTCTCGAATTGAATCAAATAAAATAATCGAATCTGGTGATATACTCACGTTGGCTTATCTCCCACTGCTACCTTTACAAAATGTGACTGTGGATCTGACTTTTCTAGTTCTTCATCAATAACAGGCCATGCTGAAAAACAAATATACCATATTGTTATCATATTCCAATCGTAAGATAATGAGTTTGGATGCTTTTTCTCCTTGTCAAATTCATGATCAAACTTATTTTAACCCATTCTTCATGGAATTTCAATTTTGTTCATGCAGTGCACACTAATCAACCAACCTATCATGAATATTCGATGAATAATTGGAATCAGTAACTTATTCAAGATCTAATGATCAAATGTGTGAAACACCACCACTTGATACTGCTGGCGAACAATATTAGTAGTATTATCGTGAGGTCCAAGAACAAAGCTGAGTTAGACAGGAAGAAGTGGCCGGTCCAAGTAAGCCAAGGACGGCTTGGTTGCTGGGCAGGGATCGCCAAGTCCTGCGCCTTCTTATAGGGATACTGACAGGGCATAACAGGTGACGCAGACACCTATCACTCATAGGTGTGGAAGATAGTCCCACTTGCCGTGAATGCGGAGAAGATGAGGAGACATCACTTCACTTCCTCGGAGAGTGTGAGGCGTATGGAAGGATGAGATTCGAAATCTCTGGAGTAGATAAACAACAACAGGAAGATTTGGCCGAATTAGAGTGGACGGACATCCTGACCTTCATCAGAAGGACGGGAAGGTTCGAAAAGGACAACTAAAAGAGGGATGTGTAGATATGTGGAGAGCAGGGGTTGGCAAAAAGGGCCCATGGGGGCCTACTTGCCTCGCTACAGCCTCCCCACAATACTACTACTACTACTAGACAGGAAGAAAATATTTCACTTCACTTTGAGCAATATGGACTTTTACCAAAGAATAGCTGGATTAGGAAAGAAAAGAAACTATCATCCAGCTGATATCAGGAAGGTTTTCTACCAATGGATCATATGAGATATAGATCTTGGCAGTGAGGTTGATTGAATGGTAGATCTGGATTGGTATACCTTGCATTATTCGCATTGTATCGTATATACTGTGATCGAAATTCAAGTTTATATCTTCACTGTTTCACTGACATAGTCAATGTCTAATGAATATACTAGTTATTCTGTTATTTATGAACTCATACCTCTTTTGCAATAAGTACAGAAGGTGTCTCCATCAGGTCCTGGAGTACTAGAAAACAGTACATGAACCTTCTGACCCTGGCTATCGAAGGTTTTGAAGAATTCCAGGAATGCGTTGTACCCTTCTACGTAATGTTTCTGAACCATTTTGGGCTTTTGGAAACAAGAATAGTGTCGACTGTAGTTGGAAAGTCGTTTAATTTGACGATTACAAGATATATATACAACCTGCTTGCTCAGTGTATCGTTGACGATGACAGACAATACATAATGGAGCTTCATCAAAATGTTTATATATATATATATTTATATCTCACCATATAAATTTTTTTGCTATTCACATGACTTGCAATTTGAAATTTGCTGAATGATGATAGACGATATGTTTTCGTGTGATCGGTAGATACATGGGCGTATCCTCTGGGCGAGACAGGGAATATATCAATGCGGCATGAGGAGTAGGAGTAATTTATTATACAGGGTGTTTCATTGAGACGGGTAAATAATTCAACTGTGGATAGGGGTCACTAGGGTGATTTCAAAAAACCCATGGTTGATGGGTCTTCGACTTTTTATAACCGGGATACAGGATGTTTCATCAATTTTATCCATATCTTCATTGTCTCATAACTTTCCAATCAACCTGTATATATTTTCAAAAATTGGTACACTTGCTCAATCTATCCTGTGGAATTGATTGAGGTAACAACAAAAGATAAAATCCAGGTTCGGCTTCACTTAAAATTCACAAATTCTTTCTGCCAGAAAACAACAACCATACATTCGAATTTCTCATTTTTTTTGCCATATCTGAAAAGAACATCTAAATTCCTATTCAACGATGTGCTTTTTATTCGTACACAGACGATTTTAACTATTCATATTATGTGCTCAAAATATTATTTTTGCTTATTTTGGGGTACCAAATTGGAATCAGACGAGATTGATTAATTTTTTTGACTTTCAATTCAGTATACGTGAGTATTACATTTAGAAGGAGTATTTCATATCGTTCTTTGTTCCAGACTTAGTTGCAGGTCATCAAAACTATACAGGGCTTTTCACGATAAGCGTTAATTTGATGTTTCTGGCAAACCAGGCAACGGATAAATCTGAAAATTCGAATTTATGTATAAATTAACATGATCTACACGTCTGAAATATTTGAAACAATCTGGCGTTGCCGCTTCTACTGGAGAGTAGCAGTAACTTTGATTTTTCAAATGGGACACCCTGGATACTCCCTGAAGAGCTGATTCAATCGATTCACAAAGTTCCGGGTATAGTGGGACTAATAACTCAGATATCTAGAGTAAGAAAAATCGAGATGTTTCAACTTTAGGATCATTCTGCGAAAATATTTATTATTGATTAAAACGGCTCTTATGTCCCTATCTTACTATTGACATTTAATCGAAACAAATACAGGATGGTTCATAATTCAGATTTCTGCACCACCCTGTATCTGTTTCAATTGAATATCGAATGGAAAGTTGAGATAGGGACATTGAAGCCGTTTTGACTATGCAATAATGAATAGTTTCAACACAAAACATTTCTGAAGTTAAAACATGTCGATTTTCCACATCCTATATCTCACTGTGTCTCAGTTAACAGTTCCGCTAGACCTTGAATGTTTGGAATCGATGAATTTTGCTGTTCAGCAAGAATCCAAGAATGTAATGAAATACAAGGTGTCCTATTTGAAAAATCGAAGTTGCTGCTACTTTCTAGTAGAAGTGGCAAGTCCGGATCGTTTCAAATATTTCAACGTCAAATCAACGCTTTTTATGAAAAGCCCTGTATAGTTTTGATGACGGCCCTGCAACTGAGTCTGGAACAAAGAACGATATGAAATACTCCTTCTGAATGTAATACTCACTAAATAATATTTTGAGCACATAAAATGAATTGTTGAAATCGTCTGTGCACGAATAAAAAGCACATCGTTGAATAGAAATTTTGATGTTCTTCTCAGATATGGCAGGAGAATGAGAAATTCGAATGTATAGGGAGTTGTTTTCTGGCAGAAAGAATTTGTGAATTTTAAGTGAAGCCGGACCTGGATTTCATCTTTTGTCGTTGCCTCAATCAATTCCACAGGATAAATTGAGCAAGTGTACCAATTTTTAAAAATATATACATGTTGGTTGGAAAGTTATGAGACAATGAAGATATGGACAAAATTGATGAAACATCCTGTATCTCGGTTATTAGAAGTCGAAGACATATCAACCATGGGTTTTTTGAAATCACCCCAGTGACCCCTATCCACAGTTGAATTATTTACCTTTCCCAATGGAACACCCTGTATATAATCGATTCGGGATCGTCATTTCTCTGATTGATAGTAATTATCCATTTGAGTTTGTGTGTGCTTTGAAGTCGATTCATAATGACAGCCACAAAAATACTGGTTCTCGTGAAATATCGTGAAACTGCTAGAACCGAACCAAGGACGAAGAATGAATTCGCCGACATTTAATTGTGGAGTTTCAATACTACGACAATAATAGGCCATTGAAAAATCATTGAGTGAGCACCGGCCTATCTTGCGCTTCCCCTTTGATCGTTTTTTGAACACAAAGGACAATTAGGAGGTATGACACCAGGTTTACCGCAACCAAAACAATATGCACCCTATTGCGCCGATTTTTCTCTCTGAAATTACGATTATCTGACTGAACATTATTTTCCTGCATAACAGCAACCTGCCCATCAGTATTATTACTTGAAAATTCTCTCTGAGAATTATTATTGTTAAAATTTCTATGTCCATAGCTTCTACTATTACCAACGGTAATTATTATTATCAGAATATCTTTCATTCCTAATCTTAATACTAGAATCAACATTTGAGCTGGTACTTGGATTATTATTAATAATATTACTAGAATTGCAACAACATTGATGACCAGAATTCACCGAGGAATGATAAGCTAGACCTGGTTCAAGTGTAGAAATATTTCGTTTAGGTGGAGGTTGATATCTGGCTTGAACTACGTTTGCATCCTCTCGAGCTCTACATATTTCCAAAAGTTGGTTCATGTTGTCGATCGACTGCAATTCCAAGTATGACTGATAACGAGGTAAAATATTCTTCCTGATGATTTTCAATTTTTTTTCTCGGGTGGGACATCTATCAAGCAACTAAACAAATTCTCCATCAGAGATAAATAAACTACAATTTGTTCATCATGACCTTGAGTTCTATGACGGATTTTCTTCCCAAAGTTGATCATCATAATCTGATGGCAAAAAGTCTCTCTTAAGGGCGTCTACTAATGAATCCAAAGAGTTAAAACGTTTTTGTCGAGACTGAGATCTGAACCATCCTCGCGCAATACCACCAAATAAATCTGAAGGTGATTGAAACAAATTCTGTTTTGTACAATCACGTGCAGTACGTAAATCATCAACACGGTGTAAAAATGACCTAAGGGAACCATTCCTAACAGTTCCATCAAAAGTAATACCTCATTTGTAAACTGGTACTGATCTACTAGCAACAGTGTTTACTGACAGTGCTTGTGCCGAGTTGGGTTGGTTCACTATTTGTCTCTTCAAATATTGATCCTGAATTTCAGTTAAATCTTCCTCAAGAGAACTAACTAAGATGATATCATCTCCCCGAAAATTTACAACTTCAATTCATGAATTCATGGAAAAATGTAATATGCGGTTTTCTGTAATTGGGTTGTTAGTTCAACCTGTTGAAAACCCGAATTGATAAATGAATAAATAAACATGACTTGAATCCTTAGGTATTCTACATAATCGATCTAGTACATGATTCATTGGACTCTTCACCCGCTTGAAAATTTCCTCATTGATACCATAAACATTGTTAACTACTTCAGCAATAGATTTTATACTTTCTGAAATTTCTGAACTTTCATCTTGAAAATCAAAATCTGGTATCACATACTGGACATCAGGTCTAGCTAAATCTTGTCTCAACTCTCTTCTCAAAAATTTACTCTTTTGATCAGTGTCAGCCCTGTCTACCGCAACACCCCGTATACGTAATTCGTAATTTCATTCTCTAGTCCTCAGATGATTTGAATCTATATTGTTATTAGCCTCCATCATAAAGTTGAAATTTTTTTTCAAAATTTACAAAAATGTGCTGTCAAATCAGTCACCCAGGAGAACACCCTGTATGTAATCCACGAGAAAAGGTACTAAATCTTGGGAGAGAATTTAGCAGAACTCAATGAATAGAAATAACTAACAATACAGTGAATTAATCAATGCAGCTTACTTCGGAATACAACTCAGAATCACCCTGTACAATCAACACAGAAATTCTCAATGAATCACTTACCAAAAATTCAAAAATTCAAGTACTTACTCAAAATACAAACTTCCTCATGTAAATGGATTATCAACCAGCATAAAATAATTTAGTTCACCCTGTATATATACTCACCAGTGACCAAAAAATATTGCTCTCAGAAGATTATGCAAAAATATTGGGGAAAAAATATAAATATTTTCAGTAATTTGAAAATTAGCCAACTACGTTCACCCTGTATGGTTGAAATCGAATCATTGCCAAATTTGCCAAATTTGTTCAGCAAGATAACCGAGTTCCGGGAATTGAACACTGCCCATCCTATTGATTATGCTATGGCTGTGGTATTGTCAATATGGATCAGGATTTTGCAAGAACTCAAATCTCTGCAAAAACACTCCAATGCATAAAATGCAGCTAGTAACTCCCCAGTAAACATTTTTTTGTTTCTGGAATGTTTCGGAAACGTAGTATTTGATGCATGAAACATCGCATTCAAAGTTGCCTACATGTTTCAGAAACATTCCAGAAACTAGAGATGTCCGCCCTCAGGGATGTTTCATGTTGATGTTTCTAAATAATGTGTCGAATACGCAAATCGAAACATTTTAGAAACATTTCTACCATGATCATATCCTGTAGGAATGTTCCATGCAATATTTCATGAATATTTCTTTCGTTATATTACCTGAAATGTTTCAGAAATATTTGTGAAACCAAAGATATTTGCCCTCAAAACTGTTTCATGAATAATGTTTCGAATACAAATGCTTGAAACATTCTGGAAACATTCTCAATATGATCAGATCTTTAGGAATGTTTCTTGGTACATTTTTGAATATTTTTGAAA